GAGACATGAGTTGATGATGATGAGCAGCAGGATCCTGGAGATCATCTTCTCCTGAGGAGAGGAGACAGAGGAGGTTTCTAGAACTTCAGTTTGTCTGATGAGGATCTTTGTTTACATCATGTTTGAATCTAGAACAAGAAATAGAAAGAGCAGAGTCAGTAACCTTTACAATCCAAAGACATTTTTCAATCCAACTAAATAAATCGTGTCTTACATGAACCTTTAAAAACATAGTTCTTTAACTTTGGAAAATGATCTTGTACAGAATAAGCTTGTTTCTAAAATAAACCTTGAGGTTTATAAAGAAAATCAGACTTTTTAACCTGAGGGCAGAAATTTACCAACCTCATTATTTTCATTGAATAAACATGAAATATTAATTAGTGGAATCACAAGTCTATCAGTTCATCAGGGCAAACATTGTTGTTCTATTAAACCTAGAATCCAATACGTAAATCAACTGATTTTCTTATTTGAACTCTTTTTTGATTACATTGTGTGTTTAATTTAGATGAGATTTACATTTGTTAAGACAAACAGTTGATCTGTGATCCTCTCTCAGAGAAATCAGAGTTTCTCTGCTTCAATGGACTGAAGGAGCAGTGATCACCATCCTCCGTGTCTGTCTGCTCCGTTTCCCAGCAGGACACCGCTGCTCTACCGCTACGATTGATGCTGAACTGAACTGAACTGTGGTGAAGCTCCTGAAAACATCTAGTAGGAACAGTTCCCTCACCTGATAGATCTGAACAATAAAGTAGCAGAAATCCCAAGTTCCAAAAACTCCTTTCAGGGAGATGCTCATCATACATTCAATCTTTTAGCCTTTATTATTGGTTTTGCTTTCTGTTTTTCATGGGACTTCATCATACAGTACACCTCCCCATGGTGTCATCAATCCTCACCATGGCCGGTTCTAGACAGGGCCCAACGGGGGCCAGTGCCCCTGTAGATCATGTCCTGGCCCCTGTTATGGCCCCTGTACTGAAGACATAATACTTAAAAGAAATTCTAAAAATGAAATGCACTGGAACAGACATGGTTACTGATAGGTCCTTTGGATCTATTTCATTCTTTTCATTACAAATTCTGTTTTACTTATTTTTCAAAAACAATAAGTCGATAGCTTCAGTGGTATTGAGATAGGATCCCAGTTTTCATCTGCTAAATGTTTTTTTCACAACAAATAAAAACAAATGCTCTATTTTTTAGAGATGATTTTAACAGTTTTCTTTATTTCTAATTCAAATTTTATAGAAAACTTTTAACTTAAATTAGATCAAAAATATGTAAAATTCCTAAATCATAAATGTATATTGACCTCATTAAGAAATAGAATTGTTATTCAACCTAATTGAAAAGAAATTTCCCTTCATGCAGCTCTTTTAATATATTTGAATCTCTTGCCCTTTTTTATTTCATGCTTTTCTGGGGCCCCATTAAAAACACGCTGGCCCCCTCCTGGCCCCCTGGTACATTTGGTCTAGATCTGTTCCTCACCTTCACTAGATGTGGATATACTTTAGTATATTCTGCTGTATTAAGTCTTATATTTTAGTTTTTTACTTGAGCATTGAACCTCTGCCGTTTCCCAGGATGCACAGCTTTGAGTGGTAACCAGGTGACTGCCAGAGAGTAACCCAGAGAAACTTATCGGACTGATCCAGTCAACTCTCTGATCAACCAGTCGCCTAGAACGCTGGTTGATCATAGCATCGCTTTGGACTGAAACGCTGCACAGGATTCACCAGAAACCTGCTCCCCTCACCCCTCTCTCTATAGTTGTTCCTGCTCAATCGAAGTAACTCTAATCTTTATATGGAGAATGAATTATTGTACTGCCTGCTCGCTCTCACTAGAATTAAAAAACACCAACAGAGTGTAAAATCCTGGATAATTGATGCGACTCGCGGACATCAATGAACAATTATCTATATCAGGGATAAAAGACTGACTGACCTGAACTGATGGGAATCCAACCGTCACTGAAGATTCTGGTCCGCTGGAATAATCATGAGCTTCGCTCGCAACGGTGTCGATGTAGAGAAGACACTCTTTATGTACCGTTGGCTTAGACATGTTGTCACACACCTTAGAACACCAGTTCATGACATTTACTTGACAAACGAGCTTATCCAGGCATAGGTTAAAAATAAATAGTGAGAATTATTCTGGCAAGTAGCCAGGAATGTGCAACATAATAGGCCTCTTAGAAAATGAACAGCCTTTGCAGCAGTTCGGACTGCGAACTAAATTGGAATTTGATTTCTCTGGAACTTTTAGGCTTTGGGAGGACCCAACCGAAAAATAAAACAAGCTTTTATCAACCTATTAACTGTTTCTTCAATGTTTGGGTTCATCTTCAGCATCCAAACCAAGCAGAGGAACAGAGAGGATGGAGACAGCAGTCTGGGATCAGCTGTGTTTCACTCTGACTTCATCAAAGCAAACTCAGGTTTTTGAAAACAAAGTCAAACTAATTAAATCAGTCTGACTATAATTGTTGTTCTGCATTTTGTTCCCATTTCATTCAGTTTAAATGTGAGTATAAGAGAGTTAGTCAGAGGAGCTCCAGTTTATTAAATACAGGTTTATAATAAGATTTTATTATGTACTTATTTTGATTCCTCACTAATTTCCAGGCAACATACGTATATTTTTCTATTTGAGATAGAAAGGATAAGTATATATAAATGAAATGCTCAAATTAAAAGATTAAGTCAAAAATATTTATTTTAGTTATTGTACGTTCTACATTTGGACAATCATCAATACTTTTGACTGAGGTTAGAACTATGCATAGTTATATCATTTAATATCAGGCCTAAATGCCAAATCCCCCTCCTCCTCCTGCAGCGCCTTTTTCTTCTTCCTTTTACCTCTTTATAGGCGGAGAAATGGAAACCATGTCCTGCTCTGAAACATTCTTTTCGTGCTCCTCAGAGAGGAGCACGAAAAGAAATCTGGAAAAAAGACCGAAAGTCCCCACAGAATCTCTGTAACATGATGTACACCTGCCTCAAATGGTTAAAGCCACGGGTGTAGGTTTGCATAGGGACCATAGGGACATGTCCCTACCAAAGCTTCTGACTGCAGTTCTGTAAAGAAGCAGGAGAGCGTTTGGATTTGATGAACTAGAGAAATGAAAGAAACCAATGCTAGGATTTCTTTATTAAACTAAATATTCTGAGTCAGACAGGAGTTCAGAAAACTGCTGTTAAAATGAACAAAGACTGTAAACTATCAACATTTCTGATTCCCTTTCACTAATATTTCTTTGCTGTTACTGTTTTCATTTCTGACGGCAGTTCAGGTATAATTAACAGGTTTTATTTCTTTTGTAGATCATAACAACACGAGAAGGATGCTAAAGATCTGCTACTTTTGGTTTTCCACATAAAAAATAGTTCTATTTAATTGACTTCTACTTCTAGAAATAGGATAGAGACAAACAGAGGAAACTCTATTTACACCAATTCTATTTTTCTCCACACGGTCCATAAGTAAATTAGTACGAACATTAATGTCTGGTAAAAATGCTGGAATCTGGCTGTTTATTTGGGATATTATTAAATTACAGATGAGAAAGTGTTATATTGTCTTTTATAATTGTTGAAAGTGATTTTTTATTTTAATAAACTTAGGCTCATTCTTAGTGTTGTGCTTGTAGATGATGCCACTAAAAAATAAAATAGACATAAGGAGCTATTTAAATAGTCAGACAGTAGCAATATAGGATGATGATAAAAGGTTGTGTTACATTTAATCCTTTACTATTAAAAACTCACTTGTATAATAGAAACATTATATGATTGTAGGAAACCCAGATATAATGATGCAGGGCAGCCTCAGGGTGAAGCAGCCCTTCAGTATTATGGAAGAAATGTGTTTGGAATGTTACCATAAAATTAGGGCTGCAACTAATGATTATTTAGCAAACTAATTAATATGTTAATTATTTTTTCGATGAATTGATTAATAATCAGATAGAAGGTTCCTTAAAGAAGATTCTTTACGAAATTAAACCAGGTGAAACAGAAAAAAATCCTTTTGAGGAGTTTTTAATAAAAAAATCTTAAATGCAAAATGTTTACATATTTTTTACAATCTTGGTATAATTCCTGCCCTAAGTGGGTCGCTCTGTCGGCTAAAGGCACATTTTAGTGGCCCTATACTCCAGTTAACAATTAATCAATTAATAAATTAGCTGACAATCATTCAAATAATTGATTAATATGATTAATTGTTTCAGCCTAAGATAAAATATATGAAATCGGCCAAACAGAGTAACTACAGCCCAGATGTGAAGTTAATATTTCAAAATGCTCAGAGTCAGTTCCTCTTATAGTTCCAGTGCTCATGTAAATACAATACATTTATTTGCCGTCCCTTGCATGTATTACTGTGCATGATACAGAGAGAGCATATTAGATAAAAAAAAATAAGAGTGGGTTTTACCTCTCTTTACTTCTGCACAATTATATATCTTCAAAAGAAAACACAGAATTAATCCACATATAACAGAAATATTTAGACTATATTTGGTTATACAGACACTGTCTTAGTCGCTAAGTTTAAATGCAAACATTTCCAAAGTGGGAAAAGTCCTATTTCCACATTGATCAGAGCCAGTGATCCTTTAAACATTGATAAACAGCATCTAGTGAGTGTAGAGCTGATAAGATTTGTATTGATGTAGCAAGAAATGCTTCTGTTCTATTTAACGAAATGTGTCCTGATGCTCACATTAAGCATAAAAAAACCAACATCAATATTTTTGCAAAGGACCAATGACACTGAAGACCAATAGTGTCCTGAAATCTAACCTACGTCCTTGAGCTCAGCATACCTTTAAATTAATATTTTTATAATGAAACATAAAAATACTTTTTGTAATGCTTAACAACGTGCTAATAAATGCACATAACAGTAATGTTTAGCATGCAGCTTTACCTCATGTCCAGCGGTGATGGAGCAACAGATCAAACTGATTCCTTCCTGCAAACAGCTCCATGCTGATCTATTAAACTGCTTCATTTATTCTCTCTTGGTAAAGTTTCTTTGTTTCCTTCTTTTCTCTACAGCAAAGTTCTTCCTATAAATGGTGAGAAAGTTACTCTTCAAAGCTCTAAATCATCCAGAGAGTGAAAAAAAAAAAATTTTTAGAAATAAATTAATTAGAACTTCCATCCATCTGTTACTGCTAGTAACAGAGCAGAACCAATTCATTATCAGTTTGAGGAAATTAACTAAAAAGAAACTAAACTCTGTGAGTGAAAAGACAGGAACTACAGACAGAAGAACCAATGAGAGTTAAGCAGCACAGCGCAGTTAGATGTGCTGATAGTTAAAAGAAAGGAAGATTGAAAGACTACTACATATAATAATCATCATGGGCAAGTTTTTCATTCACAAATGTCGTTTTCTTAAAGTCAAACCATCTTTCCCCTCTTTTCACAACTCTGCCACCTCTTCTTATCTCTAAAATTCAAGAACAAAGAACAAGATGCAGAACTTTATAATCTGATAAACAATCTGGAGCTGATGAGACACCCCTAATGTATGTGTGCTTGTATTTTCTGTTGGGTTTTTTTCTTGTTTGTGCTTTGTTTTTTTGTTTGTATTTTTAATTATTTTATTTATTTATTTATTTTGTATTGTTTTATTTGTTCTGTAAATGTGGAGGCAACCTCAAAGTTTTTCAGGTTTATATACATCTGATACCAACACCTTGTCTACTGTATGTGATGGTTTATAATAAAAAAAAAAATAAAAAAAAAATATGCTGATAGTTTCACCAGGAAAGACCGGGAGGCACTCAGATGGAGCTGCAAGAGGAAAATAATCCTTTGCTGCAATAACGCTGTATTTTAAATTATAAACATGTTATAAACATGGAATCATTATCAGGGACATGTTGCTATGGTTACTATGCAAACCTAGACCCATGCAGGAGATTATTATTCTGATCCCTGAGAGCCTCTGCTGTGAAAAGCTCATTACTGCCATCTAGTGGACTGATCAGGCTTCAGTTCATGATGCATCATTGAACAGATGCTGATCTGA